TTTCTAATAGGAATGTCTAACAGTTGAATTTTAATTGTCCTTGTAAGTACTTTCTGCCCTCTGTGAATGAAGTAGCTAAGCTTTTTAAAGTCTTTGTGAATATATTTTTTTAGTTTGGTTAAAGCAGAAATGACAGCAGATACTGTTATTGTAGCGTTTGTAATATAAGGGTGATTGACCTTAGTTTGGTTAAAGCAGAAATGGCAGCAGATACTATTATTGTAGCGTTTGAATATTAGGATGATTGACCTTAGTTTGGTTAAAGCAGAAATGACAGCAGATACTATTATTGTAGCGTTTGTAATATTAGGGTGATTGACCTTTACTGGCTGTTTCATTGTTGTTAATCATTACACAGTTTTAGCTGCATGGCCTTGACAGTGAACATGGATTTTTTTATTTTTTTGTAGAGACAAGAGTCTTACTTTATCGCCCCCGGTAGAGTGCTGTGGCATCACACAGCTCACAGCAACCTCCAACTTTATTTTATTTTATTTTATTATTTTTGTAGGTGAACATGGATTTTGCAGAGTACACTAGACCTGCTTTGGAGCTGTAATGCCAAATAGTTTTCTTTCAAAGCTATAGAGAAAGTAAAGACATACAGAAGAGTTAATGCTTCCATAGAATTTACTGTTAGTGAATAGAAACTTTATTTGTCCTCATCTGAAGAAAATTGTTAATGTATGATACTGTGTAAAACTGTGGGGAATAGAATCTATAGCTGTTTATTATATGGCTCTAGAGTGGTGGTTTTCAGCCTTCCTAAGGCTAATGCCGTGACCCTTTAAGACAATTCCTTATGTTGTGACCCCCAACCATAAAATTATTTTTATTGCTACTTCATAACTACTGGTTATGAATTGTAATGTAAACATCTGATATGCAGGATGTATTTTCATTGTTACAGAGGGGTCACTGACCCACAGGGTGAGAACTGCTGCTTTAGAGGAAGGGTTTCTTTCCTTTTTTTATTGCTCTAGAGGAAGGATTTCTTTCTTTTTTTGTTGCTCTAGACCAGGTGTCCTCAAACTACTGGCCACATGTGGCCCACTTAGGACATTTATCTGGCCCTCTGGGTGTTTTTGCTGCCTCTGCCTGTCCTGCTTAGCAGCCAGCTCATCTCGGGGCCTGCAGTCCGGCCCTCCAACAGTCTGAGGGACAGTGAACTGGCCCCCTGTTTAAAAAGTTTGAGGACCCCTGCTCTAGACTCTAGAGGAAGAGTTTCTTTCTTTTTCGCTGCTACCTTATACAGAGATCTAAAACATGCTCTGTGCTCTCAAGAAATTTAAAATACAAGGCTGGGTATGGGAGGCTCAATGCCTGTAATCCTAGCACTTTGGGAGGTCGAGGTGCGTGGATTGCCTGAGCTCATGGGTGTGAGACCAGCCTGAGCAAGAGCCAGACTCTGTCTCTAAAAATGGCCAGGTGTTGTGGCAGACGCCTGTCGTCCCAGCTACTCGGGAGGCTAAGGCAAGAGAATCACTTGAGCCCAGGGGTTTGAGGTTGCTGTGAGCTATGACAACACAGCATTCTACCAAGGGCGACAGAGTAAGACTCTGTCTCAAAAGAAAAAAAAAAGGAAATTTAAAGTACAGTTAATTTGCTGACAGCCTCTTCTCATCCTACGAGCTTATTCATTATATCATTTAATGAGGAAGAAAAAATTAGAAGGGCAGATGGCAAAGGACCAGATGGAAGAAATAATATTGGCTACTCTGTCACATGTGTAAGTGTATATTTCATAGCCATCTTAGTAGAAAAAAGAAGCATGGTTGAAGATTATTCAAGTTGTAGAGCTCTACCTTTATTTAACTGTAAGATTAAATAATGTCATCAAAACTTTAACAAGTCAGGGGTGCCTGTGGCTCAAGGAGTAGGGCACCGGTCCCATATGCTGAGGGTGGCAGGTTCAAACCCAGCCCCGGCCAAAAACTGCAAAACTTTATACAAGTGGGGCAAATAGAGGTAATTAGATTTGTTCTTTATCATAGAAATTGTGATCACTCTTGGCATTCTTCATAATGTTTTAAGCTTTGTTGTTAGTATATTGGTGACTGCAGTGTCTTTTCTTTTTTAATTAAATCATAACTGTGTACATTAATGCAATCATGGGGTACAATGTGATGGTTTTATATACAGTTTGAAATGTTTTCATCAAAATGGTTAACATAGCCTTCATAGCATTTTCTTAGTTATTGTGTTAAGACATTTATATTCTACACCTAGTAAATTTCACATGTTCCCTTATAAAATGCACCGTAGGTGTGGTCCCACCAATTATTCTCCCTCCACCCATCTTCCCCCCTCCCTCTTCCCTTTCCCCTTCTTCTTGGGCTATAATTGGGTTATAGCTTTCATATGAAAACTATAAATTGGTTTCATAGTAAGACTGAGTACATTGGATACTTTTTCTTCCATTCTTGAGATACTTTACTAAGAAGAATATGTTCCAACTCTATCCATGTAAACATAGAAGAGGTAACGTCTTCATCCTTTTTAAGGCTGCGTAATATTCCATGGTGTACACATACCACACTTTATTAATACATTCGTGGGTCGATGGGCACTTGGGCTTCTTCCATGACTTAGCAATTATGAATTGGGCTGCAGCAAACATTCTGGTACAGATATCTTCGTTATAATGTGATTTTTGGTCTTCTGGATATATACCTAGTTAGAGGAATTGTAGGATTGAATGGCAGGCCTATTTTTAGATCCCTCCAAACATCTTTCCAAAAGGAACATATTAGTTTGCATTTCCACCAGCAGTGTAGAAGTGTTTCTCTTTTCTCCACATCCACGCCAACATGTATGGTTTTGAGATTCTGTGATATGGGCTAATCTTAATGGAGTTAGATGATATCTCAGAGTAGTTTTGATTTGCATTTCTCTGATGATTAAGGATGATGAGCATTTTTTCATGTGTCTGTAGGCCATGCGCCTGCCTTCTTCAGAAAAGTTTCTCTTCAAGTCCCTTGCCCACCCTGAGATGGGATCACTTGTTCTTTTCTTGCTAATACGTTTGAGTTCTCTGTGGATTCTGGTTATTAAACCTTTGTTGGAGACATAACCTTCAAATATCTTCTCCCATTCTGAGGGCTGTCTGCTGGCTTTACTTATGTGTTCTTGGCTGTGCAGAAGCTTTTTAGTTTGATTATTATTTCTTTTCTTTTCTGTTTCTTTGCAGTTTTTGGCCTGAGTTGGGTTTGAACTCGCCACCTGCAGCATATGGGGCTGGCGCCTTACTCCTTTGAGCCACAGGCACCGCCCTGATTATTATTTCTTAAACCTGGCTCATGTGTGTAATCCTAGCACTCTGGGAGGCTGAGGCGGATGGGTTGCCTGAGCTAACAGGTTGGAGACCTCTTTGCTAAAAATAGCCGGGCATTGTGGCTGACACATACATTCTCAGTTACTTGAGAGGCTGAGACAAGAGAATAACTTGAGCCCAAGAGTTTGAGGCTATTGTGAGCTATGACACTACGGCACTCTACTGGGGACGAGAAAGTGAGACTCTGTCTCCCCCCAAAACCCAAAAAACAACAACAATTTGAATCCAATTGAACAACAGTTGAATCTCTCTGGCTGTTCCCTTCTTCCTAATTTCTTCCATTATCTTTTTTTCCTTAATTGTATTGTCTATTTTTGTTGTTGTTGTTGTTGTTATAATTGTCATTTTGGCAGGTGCAGGCGGGGTTTGAACCCACGAGCTCCGTTGTGTGTGGCTGGCACCCTAGCCGCTGAGCTACAGGCGCCAAGCCAGGATTCATATTGTTGTTAAAGATGGGTTTTAAATACTACTCTAGATGTACTAAAAGCCCAGAGGAGAACATAATAAGGAGTGTGATTTCCATCATCTATTCATGAGATAAACACACACTACTTGCTGTGCAAGAGGTCATGCTACTAAAGCTCAGGGTAGGGAATGTCTTCTCAGGGCCTGGGAAGGGAGACGTCCAGAGAGTTTTCCACACCCACGCAGCTCATTATCAGTAGTTCTGAATCAGTGTGCTGTTGCCTGCTGGTCTGCCTTAATCCAAGGATGAAGGCTAGGGACTATGGTTCCACAGTGAGAGCAAAAGGAGAAAATTCATACAGGTCAGAATCATCTGCGAGAATCTCTTAAATTGTCCAACATGGTGATTTTTCTTATAACATTAAAACAGATTGCTATGTCTGTAGGGGATTTGTGGAATGAGGAAGTTGGCATGCATTTAGATGTTATGTTGCACAAGGACGTTATCTTCAGGGCTCTGGAGTGATGGGCAGTGCAGACGGTGCTCCTGGCATGAGAGGCATGTGGAGATGGAGATGCCGCAGGCAACAGCCACAGGTTTCTTTCTTCCCAGGCGAACATTCTTGGTGGAAGAGCTGGTGCACTTTACGTTCTTCCTCCCTTTTCCCCTCCCTCCCTCGCATATGGATAGCTGAATATACAGAAGTTTAGTGTGAGTGTGGCTGGGTTCACTATGTCTGGAGGGTGGATGGCATCCTTGTCCTCCAGCGGTCCTTTGTGAATACTGTCCCTCATAATTGAACTTAGGAACATTCTGGGTGATAGCGGGCCAGATACTGGGTTCTGAATAGGGGCAGATCCATATTCCTGGTCACTTAAATTGGGCTTAAAGTACTCAGGCCCGAGTGTTGCAGTGGAGTGCTGTGGCCGTGCCAGGGATTGGCTGCGTGGTGCGGGCAATTACTTAACATTCTTTGTGATTCTCTCACCTCATATCCAAAATGGAGAGGACAGTGTTGGTTTCGTAAGGTTATTGCAGAGATTAAATGAGAATGCGTGAAAAGGGACACAAACAGTGCCTGGCACACAGTAAGAGCTCAATATATGTAGCTCTTTTATTTTGTGTTGTAAATTAAGGAGCTGGAACAGATGAGGCCAGTCCATCTCCCCACAAAAATAGGTAAAAACAGTTTCCTGAACAGGACATTTGGAAATTGGATTCTTTTGTTTTCTGGTTTATAACAATTTTATTCTTTTTCAGAGAAACAGCACCCAGGACTATCTTCCAAAGAGTCCTGGATATCTTGAAGAAATCTTCTCATGCTGTCGAGCTGGCCTGCAGAGATCCTTCCCAAGTGGAGAATCTGGCTACCAGTCTGCAGCTAATCACAGAGTGCTTCAGATGTCTGCGCAACGCCTGTATAGAGTGTTCTGTAAACCAGAATGCAATCAGGTAGTATTCCTGGGGAGTGTTCCCAGTAGTTACACGAAACTTTGATTCTGTTGTTTCCATGTTCATGCTGGTTCTTTCACATTGGTTTATCTGGTAGGAATTGTTCTGGCATGGTAGTATCACCTGCTGTTACTGCAAGATTGTCCTTAACATACATCCACAGGGAGGGTCTTCTACAGGCCTTAAGGTAAACAATGGGATGACATGTAATAGAATGTGTTGAACACTAGGGATTGCTTAGATTTCTTATTTGTGTTTATAACATCTTTTGAAGTATTTGGTTCTGTGCAGCGATTTGAATGTAGTTTTGATTCGTTTTCCCTGGATTCTGCCTACTTAAGTTCATATGCAGTTCTTGACCTCTCTTTTCTTGGTCATAAATATTTTGTTTTCTTTCAGTGATTTAATTCATTACCATTGTGTTTACTGTGAAACAAGAAGCATGCTTTGTAAATTTCTAAGATTGCCTCTCTTTCCCTAAGACTGTGTGAAGTTGCAAGGTCTGTTTCCACCTATTTTATAGTGTGTTCTTTGTAAAAGTAGCAGGCTCGGTGGCTCACGCCTGTCATCCTGCACTCTGGGAGGCGTAGGTAGATGGATTGCTTGAGCACGAGTGAGACCCCATCTCTAAAAAATAGCCGGGCATTGTGGCGGGTGCCTGTAGTCTCAGCTACACCCAGGAGTTTGAGGTTGCTGTGAGCTGTGACGCCATGGCACTCTTCCCTTGGGAGATTGAGTGAGAGAGACTCTGTCTCCCCCCCACCCCCCAAAAAAGAAAACCAAACAAAGAAAACCATGAGCAGGAGTTGTCCAGTGCTGTTCTCTGCTTTGACATGTTACTCTCTCCTCTCAGAACTGAGCATCTTTCCTCTTTGATTTTATGGAATCTGCTGTTTATTAAAATTTTTCACTTGAAACGAAGTCAGAAGCCACAAACAGGATGCTCACCTTTCTCTCCTGGACTTCAGTGTAGATAGACAGAGCCTCCAGGCCTCCCTGTCAGTGTGGTGATGGGTGACGTGGGGCTGACCCAGAAGCTACTGGAGGGACTCCCTTTGCCTAGATGCTGTTATACCTGAGGCTTTGATATGATTAATGAGATTTTTAAGATCAAAGGAGAGGGGGGAAATGCTAAAGTCCTTTAACCTCACTGCTAAACCAAGCCTGCCATCCATGTGCAGATAAATGGATGGAAACAATAATCATCTTGATAATAGTAGTCAACATTTTAAAACATAACTAGTTATATGCTAGATGCCTCTGGCCAGGAGGCTGGTTTTTTTTGTCCTTTTCCAGGTAGAGGGAAGCCTTAGCACAGACTGGTGACTGTGAGTGCGGCCACATCCTTGTACTTACTGGCCTTGCTGTGGGGAGTGGGCCTATGATGAGCCTGCCCTCAGCACTCGGCTGTGTCCCAAGTACTTGACTTGTAGCATCTTATTTAATCCTTAGAACAAATCCAAGAAATAGTGTGGTACTATTTTTCTGTTTTTACAAAAGAAGAAAAATAGATGACTCGGTGATTTCAATAACTTATCTAAAAGTCACTCATTGAGTAAGTGAGAGAAGACTGGGGACGCTCTTTCTGTCTCTAATCTTTGGACTCTAAAGCTGAAGCTCAGAAGTCGTCTCCCTGAGGGTCCTGAGCCCTGAATACCAGTCAAGTTGCAGACAGCCACTCCATTCCTTCTGTAGCCACGTGACCTTGGACACGTGACACATGCAAACTATAAACACTCAAACATTGCAGAGATAAGTACTACTGCAGGTCGAAGTTTGGTGGTCTTTTGACAGGGCTGTCAAAGCCAGGGCTATGCTATGTGCATGCAACTTAACAGTGGGCTGAAATGAAGATGAACGGTTAAGGGTATTAATTTATCTTCCTATTATCTTCTAGGATTATATTATTATTCACTGTTAATTTTCAAGGATATTCCAACCACTTAGGCTAACAGCTTCCACAAAGGAATTTTATGGTTAGAAATACAACCAAAATTCAAGTAAGGATTTTGTGGCCAGCCTTAACTAAAGCTAGTATTTTTGAGCCAGTTAAGTTTCAGATTGCAACCAACATGTATTTTTCTGGTGTTTTATTTTAATTCATTAAAGAGTTAGTCAAAAGGTACAATGCTGTTAAGGCCTGGATCTTTTTACCCCTGTTGTTGTACTTTGGGTGGACTGGATTTATTTTTGCCGAGGATATACAACATATGGAGTATACAGCACAGCAAACAGTCTGGCTCACCAGAAATTTCAAGAAGTGCTCAAAGAAATTGTTGGGAGCAGTCAGCTCTGCGTAGAAGTGTGACCCTGATGGCAGGGCTGCTGTACTTCCTTGTAAAGAGTCAGGTAATAGTTTAGACTTTGAACTCTGTCAGATTTCTCACCTCACCTACTGTGGTGTGGAACAGCTGTAGACAGTCTGTGAGTGGATGAAGGGACATGCTGTGTCCCACTAATGCTGCATGTAGGAACACCGGAGTTGGAATTTTATGATGTTTTTGCACGTCATGAAATTGCATTCTTTTGTTTTTTTCTCAACCATTAAATAAGTGAAAATCATTCTTAGCTTACTGGCCATGTGGAAGCAGGCAGCAGGCCGTTTGCCTGGTAGCCATTTATGTAGAAGCAAGAGCAGAGCAGAGGTGGATGACCCTTTTCTGGGGAAGGTATTGAGCTGCTTTTTTCACCTGTTTGATGCACGGGTGGAGAGGGAAGGAGCCATCTCTGACCACCTGGCTTTGGAGAAGGGAGAGAGCGCCCTAGCCTTGTGCATACCAAACTGACCGTTAAAACTGGGGCTTCACATAGGGGCTGGGATTTTTTTTTTGTATACTCCTTGTCTTCATTTCCACTTCTTAAACTAACATCAATCAGTCTTTGAACTTAACCCATCATCACACTAACTCTTGTTAGGATCCATTTCCTTGCTTTTTCTAGATGACAGAAGCTGCCTGCATTCACTGTTTTATGGCCCCATCCTTCATATTTATTTATTTATTTATTTATTTTAGAGACAGAGTCTTACTTTGTCTCCCTCAGTAGAGTGCTGCAGCGTCAGAGCTCACAGCAACCTCCAGCTCTTGGGCTTAGGTGATTCTCTTGCCTCAGTCTCCCAAGTAGCTGGTACAACAGATGCCTACCACAATGCCCGGCTTTTTTTTGGTTGCAGGTGTCATTGTTGTTTGGTGGGCCCAGGCTGGGTTCGAGCCCGCCAGCTCCAGTATATATGGCTGGCATCCTAGCTGCTGAGCTACAGGTGCCAAGCCTGGTTTTTCTCTTTTTGGTAGAGACAGGGTCTTGTTCTTACTCAGGCTGGTCTTAATTTTTTTATAGAGACTGTATCTTGCTGTTTTGCCTAGTCTAGTTTTGAACTCGTGCCCTCAAACAATCCTCCTGCCTCAGCTTCCCACAGTGCTGCGATTATAGGTATAAGCCATTGTGTCTGGCTCCTTTCCTCCCTCCTTGAAGCAACAGGATGGCAGCTAACAGTCTGTGTTTCTGACTCTGACTCTCCTATATCCCTCTCCTGAGGACCCATATGATTACATTAGCCCTACCTGCGTAACCCAGGATAACCTCCCTATCTCCAAGTCATTTATTTAATCATATCTAAAAGGTCTTTTGTGTTTCATGACATCAACCAAATCATAAAACGGAAACAGATGAATGAAAGAGATGCATAGGATGAAGTATGGTGTGTGTGCGGGGCGGGGGGTGTCAGCTCCATGGCCTTTCCGAGTATGCCATCCTTCGAGCACTTGGTGTTCCTCAGCCTGAGAGTTCTCTGGACCCCATTGTTTAGGCATTTTTATGGAGTCTCTTTAGCAGGCACGATTAATTAAATTATTGGCCACTGGTAATTGGACTCATTCTTATCACCTCTCTCTTCCCTTAAGATCAAGAGTGGGGCTGAAAGTTCCAATCCTTGAATCACATGGTTGATTCTTCTGGCAACCAGCCACCATCCTGGAGCTATGTAGAGACCCACTCTGAGTTACATCATTAGTATAAACTCAGATATAATCAAAGAGGGCTTATTATTAATGGCAAAACACGCACCTGTTGTTCTGGAGCTTCTAAGGGTTTTAGGGTCTGTGTCAGGAATCTGGGACAGAGACTAGATTCATGTTTCTGCCATATAAAATAATGTTTTCATGGGTTCCAGGGTTTAGGATGAAGGCATCATGAGAGGATCATTCTCTTGCCTACTCCTAAACAATCATGCCTTCCCACTTGCAAACACTTTGACTTCGTCCCACCTTTCCCCAACTTCTCAACCAATTATGGCGTCAACTCAAGTTCAGAATGTCTTGTAAGTCTCATCAGCTAAAACAGCCTAGATTTCATCATCTAAAATCATTTAAGTTGCATGTGTGAACCTTTCTTAGGGTCTGATCTATCTTGGGGCAAAATTTTTCTTCATCTGTGTTCCCGTGAAACTAGAAAACTAGTTACCTGTTCCCTGAATACAATAGACGTAGGATACAGTTGGATAGGCTTAGAATTACGGTTTTAGATGTTGCCCTTCAAAAGAGGAGAAAATGAAAGGAAAGAAGAACTGCTGGTCCTAAGCAGTTTCAAAATCTACTCGGGAAAAAGGTTTCAAAGCCTGGGAGTAATCCTTTATAGCTTGAGACTTTGCTCTCTGAGCCCTGGATTTACCCTCACAGATCCTTCCTTTTATTGAAAGGTAGCACGTGTTTATATCTAAGTATAATAGTTTTAGTGGTCTGTTTCTGGCCTGTGGAATTTTGAGAGTCTGATCATTTCATCCTTTCTCTGTGCATTTCATTTCAAGCTGGCAGTGCTTCTTCTGCTATAACATTCTTATGACCTAATGGGTCTCCCATGTATGTCATGGGGGTTTCACACCATTAGACAAGAGGGTCTGCTATGGAGCTTTCCTAGACAACCCCATCTCCACTTCTGGCTTGTGCTGAGGAGGCTGAGGGAATCCATGGATCACACACCTGATCTCTTCCAAAGAGCCCTTTGTGTGACTGAGTACTCTGACTTTTTGATCTATCTCAGGCACCAGCAAAAGATAGTGCAGCCCTACTCCTGCCTTTTTCTCCAGAGCAGCTTTCCTCGTAGTGAACCTCCTTGTTTTAGCATCTTTTGCGTCCTTTCCAGATAGGCCGAGAAGTTCCCAAATCATGAAGACCTGATGCCTTTTTAGTTTATTGTTCTTCCCTCAACTTATTTCTTCCCTTTTGCATTTTACTATAGGCAGCAAGAAGAAATCTGGTCTCACCTTTGTTTTGCTTGGAAATCTGCTCAGCTCAATACCAAGTTCACTGTTTACAAGTTTTGCTTTGTGCACCGCTGTAGGACACAATTCAGCTGATCTCTCACCTCCATGGGGCAAGAACTGCCTTTCCTCCAGTCTCTGATGACATGTCCCTTGTTTACTTCTGAGCCCTCACCTACCACCTGTTCAATGTCCATATTTCTACCAATAGCTTGTTCAAGGCAGTATGGGCTTTTTTGGTCCTGTTTTTCAAAATTAGTCCGGCTTCTATGCATTGCCAAATTCCAGAGGTACTTCTGCATTATTTGTTACAGCAGCCCCTGACTTTGGCTCCCCAAAGCTGTATTAGTCTCCTCCTGCTGCTGTGACAAATTACCAAAAATCTAGTGGTTTAAAACAACACACTTTTATTAGCTTACAATTCTAGAACTCAAAAGTCTGAAATGAGTGTGAATATGGCAGTGTTTCTCCTGGAGGCGCTAAGGAGAATGAGTTTTCCTGCCTTTTCTAGCTTCTGTGCCTGCATCTCTTGGCTCATGGCCTCTTCCCTCTGTGCTCTGACCCTCTCTGTTCCTTTTATAAAGATCCTTGTGATTGCATTGGACCCACCCACATGATCCAGGTTAATCATCCTGTCTCAAGATCCTCAGTTTAGTCTTGTCCATAAAGTCCCCTTTGCCTTGTAAGGTACTGATTGGCAGCCTGCGGGGATTAGGATGTAGACGTCGGTGGAGGGCTGCAGGCTGCCTACCGCAGGGTCTGTCAGCCTAGTCTGAGCACCACACAGTGGGTCTTCATTTGAAGTGAAGTTTTAAGGAAATGCTTTTGTCTGATTTTCTCTTTTTAAAAAACCTCATGCAGGAACCTGGACACCATTGGCGTTGCTGTTGATTTGGTTCTTCTGTTTCGTGAACTGCGAGTGGAACAAGAATCCCTGCTGACAGGTAACATGCCCTGTGATGCCCAGGTGACTAACGTCTTTGAAAGGGATTTAAAACCAATACTTTGTGTGTTCATTAGTTGAAGCACATGTTCTGTATGTAGTGAGATAAGGAAACTTGCGTAGTGAAATACTGAATGGTCATAAAAGAAGTTACAGCAACTTCCTTTCCTGTTATGGGCTGAACTTCCTTGCCCACAAGTTTGTACATTGAAGTCTGTCTTAGCCTATTCCAATTGCTATAACAAAATACCTTCGACCAGTAATTTACAGATAACAGAAACTTACTGCTCACAGTTCTGGGGCTGAAAAATCCAAGATTAAGGCACCAGCAGACTTGGTGTCTAGTGAGCACTCTCTGCTTCACAGGTATGCCTCTTGCTGAGTCCTCACATGGCAGAGGGCAGAGGGGCAGATAAGCTCTCTGGGGTCTCTTGTCAGGGCACTGATCCTGCTTACATGGGCTTCAGCCTCATGACCTTGTCCCCTCACAGAGGTCCTACCTCCTACTACCAACACTTTGGGGATTAGATCTCAACATAAAACTTTTGGAGGGACACACACATTCAGCAAAGTCGATCCCCAGGTCCCAGATTTGGAGGTAGGATCTTTAGAGAGTTGACTAAGGTAAAATGAGGATACATGATTGACGTCCTTATGAGGAGATGAGATTAGAACCCGTGACAACACGGGGACGGTGCTTCTGCTAGCCGGGAAGAGAGGCCTCAGAGGGAGCCAGCACTGCTGACACCCCTGTCTCGGACTTCTGGCCTCCAGACTGAGGGGAAAACAAACGTCTGTTATTTAAGCCACTCAGTCTGTGGTCCTTTCTGGTGGTGGCTTGAGCAGACAAATATACTGTCCTTCCATGTTTAATGGATGTGAGAAGCTCTATTTTAGGTTTCCTGTGTGATTCGAACAGTGACCGAAACAGGCTTTACCTGCAGGGAGCTCACGTCCCCGTAAGGGAAGCCAGATGTTAAATCTATTAAGTCATGTGTCTGGTGTGAGAGGAAGTGAGGTTAGCTCTGATTGTTTCTGCTGTTGAAATGAGATTAAGAGAAACACCAAGTTTCTCAGTGTGAAAAGCTGGAAGCTTTTCTAGATTTATTTGAATGTTTTTGGTCTTTGTACTTCTCCCTTGGACAGGGCTTGTTATTGTAACAAACTATAAAATTTTAATTTATGATATTTTTGTTTAAGGAATTGAAATACTTCATGGGTAAACTTAAGTCATTTGATGAGAAAAATTTTTTTTTTTGAGACAGAGTCTCAGTGTGTCCCCCTTGGGAGAGTGCCGTGCTCACAGCAACCTCCAATTCTTGGGCTTCAGTGATTCTCTTGTCTCAGCCTCCCAAGTCGCTGGGACTACAGGTGCCCACCACAATGCCCAGCTATTTTTTGTTACAGTTGCCGTTGTTGTTTAGCTGGCCCGGGCCAGGTTCGAACCCACCAGCCTTGGTGTAGGTGGCTGGCACTGTAACCACTGTGCTGTGGGCACTGAGCCAATGAGAAAATCTTAATGTAAATATTCAAGCTTTTAAATTAGATGTACTAGATAATAGGTTTAAAAATTTTGTATTGTAGTGAGGAATGATTTTACATATTTTTTTAATAAGTACTTCCTTTAAATGTGATTTTTCTAGCTGTATTTAAATTTAATATGATTTAACTTATAAGTTGTTTTCTATATAGTTCTGAGTGCCTATGCTTACTATATAATGCAGACCTTACTTTTGTTAATGGGCATGTGCCTGCTATTTATTCTTGGCAGGTAGATGAGAACTAGAGGTCGCAGTTCCTTTACAGACACAGGAACTGAAGCAAAGACTAAAGCAGGCTTAGTTAGTGTGTTTGAGGCGCTGTCTGGCTTAGTTTGATTCTGATTCTGTTCTATGATTTCTTAGCGTTTTCATTTCAAACTCAGTTTGCCAAAAAATTCTTGAGTCTTTGTATTTGATTTAGAAATCTTCTTGTAGGAAATGGTAGTTTAAAAAAAAATTATATCATCTAAGCATTTATACATAGAATATGTGTTTTAAGGTTTTTTGAGCAGCAGTAATTTAAAAAATATTCTCAAGAAATTGATAGGATGTAAGATTTAGTTGAGAAGTGTTTTTAAGATATTAACGTATTTAGGGTGGCGCCTGTGGCTCAGTGAGCAGGGTGCTGGCCCCATATACTGAGGGTGGTGGGTTCAAACCCAGCCCCGGTCAAACTGCAACAAAAAAATGGCTGGGCGTTGTGGTAGGCGCCTATAGTCCCACCTACTTGGGAGGCTGAGGCAAGAGAATCGCCTAAGCCTAGGAGCTGGAGGTTGCTATGAGCTGTGACGGCACAGCATTCTACCAAGGGCGACAAAGTAAAACTCTGTCTCTTAAAAAAAAAAATGTTACATAGTTAAAGGTATTTTTTAGCTCCATTTATAATTAAAGATCAACAACAAGAGTAGTACATGTTTTACCTTGTTGCATGGTACAGCAGCTATTTTTGAAGTCTGTGTGTGGTGTGGTAATTCAGTTAAGTGAGTTCAGAGTGTACTGCATTGTGTGATTGGTGACCCTGATGTAGAGACCAAGTGTCACTGCAGACGGTGTGGTGGGCAGAAGCAGGCATCTCTTTTAATGATGTGTTCCTAAAGAAAGACTCACAGGGGAAGTGCTGTGTGAACGGTGTGATTAAATGACTATTAGCGTGCAGCCACCCCCACCTCCTAAGCGCCACTCGCCCACTCAGATCTTTTCTCCTGAAATTATGCCCTTGCTCCCAGGCAGCCTCTGTTTTCCCTCTAGACTCCGTCATTTCCATCAGCATATAACATGCTCTCCTATTTCAGTCTTAAAATAGCTTCCCTGACTCTGTGTCCCCCTCAGCTTGTTAGCCCTTTTTTCTGCTCTCTTCCAGATTTGTTGAAAAGAATTACTGAGTTTTTATACTGTATTGTAAATGATTATTTTATCCTTTCTTCACAGAATAATTTTCACTGAAACAGGTGGGTGACCTAAGGAAGAACTTAGAGGAGCAGGTATCTGAAGTTGCTTTTGTGACCCAGTTTGTCATGGAGGTATAAATTGGTCATTTGGTTGGATGGCTTGGCCATTAGCGACACCCACTAGGCAGAGAGTAGTAGATCCTTGTAGACCTGCCTGTGGGCTGTGTAAGACTTCACAGTTTGGGTAGTCACAGTTGTAGCCATTAAATTTTTGTTTATGTAGGATTCCCATAATATAAAATTAACCATTTTAGAGCAAACAATAGGTGGCATTTAGCACATTCGCAGTTTTGTGCAACCACCACTTACTTAGTTTTTCATATTCATCACTCCGGAAGAACACCCTGTCCTGTGAAGCAGGTGCTGTTCCCCTTCCCTGTACCACCTGGCGACTACCGTTCTGTGTTTTGTCTGTGTGGATTCACCTCCCCTGGGTACTTGGTATCAGTGGAATCACAGAGTTCAGTGACCTTTGCTGTCTGGCTGCTTTCACTTAGTGTCATCTTTTTGAGGTTCATTCACACTGTATCATTTTCCTTTTTGTAGCTGAATAATCAGTTGTATGAATATGTCAAATTTTGTTCATTCATCCATCAGTTGGTAGACATTTGGCTTGTTTCCACCTTTTGGCTGTTAAGAATAATACTTCTGTGAATGTGTAGTGCGGGTGTGAGTACCTGTTTTCAGTTTTTTGGGGTATGTGCCTAGGAGTGGAATTGCTAGATCATATGGTGACTCTGTGCTTAACATTTAAGGAACTGCCAAACTGTTCTTGTAACAGCTGAACCAGTAGCATATGAATGTTTCAGGTTCTTCACATCTCACCTTTATTTGAGCTGTTTGTTTTTTTGTTGTTGAGTTTTAAGAGTTAGTTATATATTCTGCGTACTAGAGATCATGTTGAACCCACAGGTCAATTTGGGAGAGAATTTGCCATCTTGGTAGTATTGCGTCCATTTAATTTTCTCTCTCCTTTTAATAGGTCTTCCTTTTCAGTTTTGTCAGTTTAAAGTAGACATCTTATGTTTAGTGACAGATTTGGAAAGCTATTATTGAAGTAGGAAAATAGAAGTCATCTTTATCACTACTTTGCAAAAGGCAGAGAGTGAAATTATTGAGTTTTATTGGAATTCAGCAATGAAATTTGGATTCAATCCATTCAATTTGGATTTTTTTAAGTGGAACTTAAAAAAATTTTTTGTAGTGTATTAATTCAAACCTAATACAAATAATCTTTTTAAAAGTATTCTAGTTCCTAATAAAGTACCTGTGCTATCTTTTGACTCTTTTCTCTGTGAGAATCTTATTCTAGGTAGATTTTTAATAGGGTTTCTTTGCCAGTGTTTTGTTACCACTGTTGAGGTAAGAACTATAATTACATTGTCAAAATAATATTTAGAGTATTATTTTCAGGGAATAATTACAGTGGTGTGACGAATATATTATGCTCATCAAATTTTATGTAAACATAAGTATGAGTTATTTTAATTGAGTTATTGGTGTTGTTTTTGGCCTTTATTCTTGCCTAATTTGTAAAAATAGTTCTGGGATTTTTCTAGGGGTATTGTAACATTTGCAATATTTACATAAAGATCACTTGATAAGCTGTTTGGTGAAAGTAAACTGTCATTTGTAATTGTACAGTTTTCTTTTCTTGCGTCTAAGACATCTTTAAACCTTTTCCTTTCCAGAATTGTGTTCTGATTCAGATACTAATTTTTGGTTGCTGGATAAATTGTTGGGTAGGATGGTTTCCAGACCAACTTATTTTGTAGGCCTTTTTACGTGTAAAATTTAATTTACACAGATTTGAGTGTTAGTATTCTAAAATAGTCAGTAGAAATTTAAATGTCTAAATTAAGAATTATCTGGAGAAAAGATTAGTATTTTTCTATTATAAACAATACAAGTTCATTACAGACTCATTTTTATAAAGTCAGAAAACTAGAAAGAAGAAAGATAATCATTGTATGATGACAGTGTAAGGCAAACACTGAGTTTTGGGGGTCATTTTTTGGTATTTGTATACATGAATATGAATGTGTACTTAGAGTTTTGTATCTGACTTCTTTATTTTAGATTATAATATTAACTTAATTCAATTTTGAGGTTCTTAGATTATTATTTTCTTAGTATACTTTTAAGGTTTCAGTGTTTTGATTTTTGATTACGATTTTGTAGCTCTTTGAGCAACCAGTTGTGGAGTTGCTATGGACAAGCAAATAGGGCAGACACATCGCACGCCTTATCCTTTTTGATCCTTGTAACTACTCTGCCTTCGCGGTCCGGAGTCAGCAGCCTGACCTGGCACCAGGATTGCAAGGGAATGCTCAGATCCTGGGAGAGTGCCAGGAAAGAGGGCAGGAGCTCTGGGGCCACCTCTTCAGCCTAGCCTTTGTCTTGTTGGAGAGCAGAGACCTGGGAAGTTTAAGGGACTTCAGGAGCCTCCCCTGGAAGTGTCTTTTTCTTTGCTTCCTGGTGGGGATTCCTTTAATTGGGGCAAACGTGTACATTTCACTCTAGTCCCTTATTGCTTTTTAACTTCCCTTGATTAGACTTGACCCCAGTCCTGGGGGTCAAGAGCCACTTACAGGCTTTGGGACCTTGGGCAAGTACCTAACCCTTCTGAGCTTTGGTTTATTTAGTGTGAAATGGGGATAATGGTAATACTTGCCTCTTAAGGTTGTAATGGAGATTAGATGAGTTAATGCAGTTAGATCACAGTGTCTTCATGTAGTACACTCTCAACAAATGTCAGTTGTCACTTTCATTATTACAACCTGATTACTGGATTCTTGATGCTTTTTTTTTTTTTTTTGTTGTTTTTTTTTTTTTTTTTTTTTTTTTGTGGTTTTTGGCCAAGGCTGGGTTTGAACCCACCACCTCCGGCATATGGGGCTGGCACCCTACTCCTTGAGCCACAGGCGCCACCAACTTGGTGCTATTTTTGTGCTGACATTCAGTTCCTCAGGCAGTGTCTCACTCTGTTCCCACTCAGGACCTCTTCACATGCCTTTCCCTCTGAGTGGAGTGCTGCCCTGGCCCTGATGTGCTCTGCTGTAAAATTGTTAGCAGACAGTGGAGCCCATGTGGTGCAGCCGTGGTGCTGGAGCTCGGCCCCAGAGGGCTGACACTTCACCAGACATTGGCCTTCTAGTTATGGGGTACAGGGCAGGTGGACACTCAGGGATGGACGACTGTGTCTGTATGACACAAATTGCAAAAGTATTTTAAGTATTATGCCAGTTAGTGTCACTATACCCAGGTGAACTGGCTCAGTCCATGTGTTAGCGTTTGTCCTGTTGGCACTGTAGTTAGGTAGCCTGGTTGGAGTTTTAGCTGTACCATATATTGGTGGCTTGACCTAGAGTAATTTACTTAATTGCTGTGTGCTTCCATTTCCTCCCCTATAAAATGGAGATAATATCTGCTTTATTGTGAAAGTTAAACAGGTCCCCAAGCACTTAGAATGGCACATGTCACACATTAGTGATTGTTTATTAAATGTTAGGTAATGTCCTAGTTATTAGGCTAGTTTTTTAATCCCGGGCTTACCCTTATGTTCTTTCTTTTGTGATGCTGGGGCTCAGAGTTTGCAAACTTCTCCTTTGCTTACTGATAGGTTCAGCCAATAAAGCATGTTAGTGACTGGGAGGCAGGAGGGAAGTGGGGCCTGTTCCTCCCTGCCCCTGCCTCCCTGTTCCACTCGCAGCTTCTTGCCTTCACTCTGTTGTGGGTCCCAGCTCTCTAAGGCACTTCCTCTGAGCTTTGGAGCAGCTGGCAGTAGCTGGGCAGCTCCTTTGCATAGAGACCTGGGTTCCAACTCTGCAGAGCCCCTCTACACTTCCTGGAATCCCAGCACTTTGGTTTTCCAGGTGTGAGCCACCTGTATTAATGCAGTTAAATGTATTTAAGTATATTTTGATGTTTTTATAAGTGATCTCTTTGCTTGACTTCTTGCTTATCCTCTATGTACAGAAATATTGTTGTTTCTTTAATATTGACTTTGTGTCCAGCAACTTTTGTAAGCTCTCTTAAAAATTCAGACAACTTAGTATACATTTAAAAATATTTTCGGCATGTGTTATATCATTTTTTTTTTTTTTTTTAATTAAAGACAAGGTCTTACTTTGTTGTTGGGCTAGAGTGCAGAGGCCTCACCATAGCTTACTTCAGCCTTGAGCTCCTGGGCTCAAGCAGTCCTCCTGCCTCAGCCTTCTGAGTAGCTGGGACTATAGGCACATGCCATCATGGCCAGCTAATTTTTCTCCTCTTTGTAGGGACAGGGGTCTCACTCTTGCTCAGGCTGGTCTTGAACTCCTGAGCTCAAGCGGTCCTGCCTTGGCCTCCCAGAGTGTGGGGATTACAGGCGTGAGCCACTGCAGCAGGTTTTCCTCTGTACTTTTTTTTTTTTTTTTTTTTTTTGAGACGGAGCCTCAAGCTATCATCCCCCTGGGTAGAGTGCCATGGCATCACGCTCACAGCAACCTCCAACTCCTG